AAACACTTTGATCTGGGATCCGACGCTGAAGCAGCCCTGGGGGGTGCAGACTCAGATCCGCGAAGCCCGGGGCTGCCTTGAATCTTCTGGGCCGGTGGGAAGGGAAGGGGGCGGGGGGGAGGTCCGTCCCCACCGCGGGCATCCAGGTGCGCGGGACCTATCGACTGGCCCTGCCTTCGGATTTTGCACTCCTCCTCCCACCCATCTCCGGGTGAAGACTCCCAGCAACAAAGTTTCAAGGAGGAGGAGAGCCGTGGGAAGACTGTGTAGATGCCCCCAATGCTTGAGTATGAAAACAGGCTCTCGCACTAGCAGCGCGCCCAGTGCACCCAGGCAGGCAGTCTGCGTCGGTTCCCGGGTCAGAGACAGACCGGGAAGGCGGGTTGGGGCTGTGGAGAAAAGCTGGAGTTGATGGCGAGATTGCCGCGGCTATAAATCCATCACTTCCCAGTTCAGCTCCGCGAGGCGCAGGCACTGGAGCTGGCGGAGTGAATTCCTGGGCTAGCGCGCATGCGTCGGCAGGTAGCAACCCAGCTCTTTATGACCAGGTGAGATGTTGGTGAGCAGGTAAAAAAAAAAAAAAAAAAAAAAAAGGATTTGCCTAAGCGATTCCAGGGAGCGGGCCCAGTCGAGCCCTACAGCCCATGCCCGGCGGGGACCCGTCGCCAGGAGCGCCGAGACGCGATGTCCATACTTGCCAAAATGGGGGACTGGCAGGTACGGGGGTTTGCCTGGGCTGGGGCCGAGGTGGGCGGGGGTGGGACGGGGGAGGGTGCCGGGAGGGGTAGGCGGAGAGGAAGAGCCTTGGCCCAGGGCAGGAGTCGTAGGTGAGGCGCGCCCGGCAGCGCCCCGGAGAGTTCCTAGGGGAGAAAGGACGGGAGGACGCGCAGGCGGCGCCGAGGCGCTGGGGGCACCGCGCGCTGTCCGCGGGCCGGGCGCTGGGGCAAGTCCGGCGCCCGCTCCCACGGTGGCCCCGAGGGAGGGGTCACCTGTAGTTTGCGATGCAGCCCCCCTCCCCCCCTCCTCAGCAGAAGCGGGGCTGGATGACTAATTCAGGAGGAGGGAGGGTGCTGGGCGGGGGTTGTGGTGCGCCATGAGGAGACTTCCCTGCTCGCTACGCCTTCGGTCTTGTCCCAGACCCCAGGGCTGTGCGTGAAGTGGGGTTCGGGTGCACCTGTCTCTCCGTGTGTCTCCACGTTTTGGGGACCTAGAGGCTGTAGCGAATGGAAAGGGGCGGGTTGAGCATGTTCTTTGGGAAAGTACTTAAAAAGAGTTTGCGCTAAGTTTAGCTTCTCACTCAGTCCGTTTCCTGAAGCCAGTTTTCGCTTCTTGGACTCCTGACGGGGTGGCTGGATGCGGGTGTGTGTGAATGGCTGGCGATGAGGCAGAAGATCTAAAATTTTCCGAAATCAACGCCTCAGGCACCGCAAGGCCAGCTAGGCTCCGGGTTCTGTCCGCCCTGAGCTGCGACCTGACCCGGCATCTGGAGCATTCCTCCAGAGTTGTCCTAACTTTCAGACTGTTCCCCTTGGGAACTAGGGCGGCCCTGGCCGGATTGGTGAGGGTAGCAGCCTCTCTCCTGTCTCTGATTTCATAATGGGAACCCCAGGGCCCTGCTTTCTGCCCCAGCAAAGCAAGGCCTGGTTAGGGCGAGGCTCCATGTGCCTAAAAGTTCGCAGGTGGGTTGGAACCAAACGCCCTGATCATCCCAAAGAGAAGTCCAGGCCTACTCCTTGTGGCTCGAGTTCTTGCACTTGTTTCGAATTTGGGCCAATAAAAGTTCAGAGAAGTCCTGTCTTCACTGCATTCATTGGAGTTTGGGGAAAGGAAATCATCTCGCAATATAATTTCTTTCCTTACACTTTTTAAAAATCAACCGTGAGCTCTTATACCTCTCCCCAGCAAGTAAATATCACTAAATAAAATGCCATCCCCAAAGTTAGACTAACTTTGTGGTTTAAGGATGCAAATCTCACACCAAATACAAATCCTGGGATAACACACCTCTTGCCCTTGTCCCTGCGGGCTCAGGGCTCATCTTCATTCTTTCCTCCGGAGGGTGAAGATGAGGGAAGTGCTTTGGCAGAGGGGTTAAGGTTTCCTCCTCAAGCCGGAAGAACTTTGTTGCAGAATTCTGAACTCCTCGGTGGTGAGAAGGCGCTGAGAGTGGAGGCTGGGCCTGGGTCTGGGCCTTCATCCGGTAGGCCCAGCTAAGGTTCAGAAGCAGCAAGCTTACAGCTTGAAGGGGAAGGGAGTGAACCCTGGGCCTGGTTCCTGCGGACTCACAGTTTAGCAAGCCGTGGGAAGCCTGAATGCTAAGTGGGGCGCTGAGGATTTGGGGTCCTCAAAAGTGAGATGTTCTGGGGTTGTCCTGTTGGGCTCCTGGGTCCGACTGGGTAGTGACAACCATAGAAAATAGAGTCATTCTGGCCTCTCGCTGTCTCTTTGTTTCTCTCTGTATCTCTGTCTCTCACACACATACGTGCCCTTAGTTTCTTCAGGGCCCAAATTTGGCCTGGGACCCCTAACCCTAGGCCTGGCGCTGCTGTCCTGGGGTTCTGGCTAGGCAGGGCTATTGACATGCAAACAAGGGACTTGTGGTGGTAATTGTCGCGCCCTCTCAGGCCGCTCCGCCGGCTCCGAGGTGATGGGGTGCCGCCCGGGCCTTTCTTTGGTGCCCAGAACGCCGGCGGAGGCTCCGAGCCCGCAGGCCCCAATCTGCACCTCAAAGGCGCCCTCGGCGGGAATACGACAACAGTTTAGCAGCTCCGGCTGGTGCGGAGCCGCAGGTCGGTGGGGTGCGGAGCAGCAAGAGCGGCTGGTTGAAAAGATGAAGAGCCTATGCCTTCCCTAGCCCGCAGACTGAAAGAAAGAAAGAAAGCGAAACAAGAGTTCCTCTAAACACGCCTTAGCGCAGTTCAGAGGTGGGGAATCCATGCTCCCAGGCCTGGGGTTTGGCCTACAGATCAGGCTCTGCGTCTGCTGCCCCGCTGGGAAGGTGTCAGTCCTCCCAGCGGCCCATCTCCCTGCTTAAATCGAACCCCGGGCAGCCACGAGGGCGAGTGTGCCAGCATTAGAGCTGACCCTTTCCTGAGTAAGGTGCCTCGGGGAGCCCCTCGCTGGACTCAGCCCAAAGACTACTCTAGTATTCTGAGGAGGGAAGCGGGGAGAAGGGGAGTGCTCAGTTGTGGGGAGGGAATCTCCGAACCCCCCCCCCCCCCAGTTTAAATCTCTCCTCTAGCTCTACTCTTCTTTCTAACTTTTTTGGGGGGCCTCTGGCCTACTCTGCCTGTCTTGGGAAAGTTGCTGCCCTCCTCTGGAGGGAGAATTGCCCTTCTACAAGGCTTGTGGGAGGGGGTCCTCTCTCCTTTGCCTTTGCTCCACCTGTTAGAGAAAGCTCCGGTTTCCAACAGGCTCTACCCTACTTTGAGGATGCTGTTGAAATCTGGGAGGCTTAGGGGTTTTCAAGAAACAGGGCCAGAGGGAATCTGAGGTCGTGAGTCGAGCAGCTCTGAGGCGAGACCTACTATTGTCGGGGAGCTTTCGGTATTCAAGTGGGAGAAAGACAGAAACTTTTTGTGTGGGGGGAAATGAGCAAGCTCAGCCAGAGAAATTAACTACTCTGTATTTGAGTATCAGTCTGTTTTTTCTTTCTTCTTTAAAAATGTTGCTAAAACTGAAGGAAAAATAAAGCCCTGGGGTGAGCAGGCCCCTGTGTGGAGGGGGAGAGCCTAGACTGGCCAGCCTGGCCGAGGGAATGGCTGCCCTGGCTCCGGTTCGGGGCAGCCGGGCACTGCGCCCCGAGCTCGCCCGCGTGGGTAACACCACCAAATCATGCAGGAACTCTCCTTGCTTTAATTAAAAAGGGGAATCTTGGGAAAACTGGAGCAGATTAGCACAGCGAAGAGTTGGTTCCCAGCGACTTATTTTGATGAATGCAAGTGCACACATGTCAGTGTTTCGGCTCAACTCCAGAAGCTCCTGTGAGCCTCCCTAGGAGTTCTGTATCCCTGTCCACATCGCGCCTAGGAAACCCTCAGTCCAAACGCCACGTTATCACTTGGCCCTAGCTTCACACAAACGAGAGGAAAATCACTTAACTCCTGGAGCTGTCAAGTGGCCTCTTCAGGGTACAATTTTTATTTTACACGCGGCAATTAAAGAATCGCAAACCCCAGCCGAGCGACGGAGGCCGTTCGGCGGCAAAACCTCCAACCTGGGGGGAAAGCACCAAGCCCATAAAACTCCCAAACCTCTGTGGCCCGAGGTGGTGGTGGCTGCCCCGGCGGAGGCGATCTTTTCTTGGGCAAAAATCCTGGAGTGACTCCGCTGATCTTGGTTTGGTGGTTATATTTAATTGCGAAAAGGATAATTTCTAATAAAATCGGAGGGGGCCGGAAGGACAGCGCCGCCGTTATGGGCAGCAGAGGTGAGAAGAGGCGCGGAGAGCCTGGCTCGGCCTCTGCGCAGAGCCTGGCCTCTGCACCGGGCTTCTCTCTCCAGGAGGGGTCGGAGTGTTGGACTCAGGAGGAATGGGGGGCGGGGAGGTGGGGGGACGGGCAGGGGCGCGAGGCGGGGCTCGGGAGATTTCGGGGGCTCCATGGCGGGCGTGAGCTCCAGGAGCCAGTTGGCGGCTCCCAGCGGTCTTTATACCTGGTTCGGAGGCAGAGAGTCCTGCCGGCAAGCAATTGGATTATTGTTGATATGCTAATGAGGCGATTAGGCTGTTGGTAAAGAGCTGGAAAAGGGAAAAGTTTCTACCATTAGAGGGAGATCTCCGAGCGCACACGGGAGCTCTTTCCCTTCTCGCCTCCTCCTCCTCACCCTCCTCCTCCTCGACCTCCTCCTCCCCCTTTCTGCTCTCCTCCTCCTCCTCCTCTTCTCCCTCCTCCTCCTCCTCCTCCTCCGCTCACAGTCACAGCCGGCACTTTGCGCTTACCCCGAGAGTAGCTGCACTTGGGTGCGAGGCAGAGAGGGGGCAAATCAGTTCACGCCGATCCATGAAAATGCTTTGGAAACTGACGGATAATATCAAGTACGAGGACTGCGAGGTAAGCGCGGCGCCGGCTCAGTTATCCCTGCGGCCTCAGGACCCTCCCGCGCCTCCTCCTCCGCAGCCAGCCGAGAAGCGCGGGTGGGACAAACTTTGCCCTGCGCAGCGCCCGCCGCTCCCGTCCGCCCGAAGAACCCGGGGAGAGGTCGGAGCGGAGCCAGCGGACGCTCCCCTTTCCATCTCGCCCCTTTGAAGCCCGTGTCCCACTCCCCCCCCCCCTTTTCTGGGCAACATTGTCTGTGCCTAAGACTAGCTAGAAGAGGGTCAAGCACGGGGTTTTGAAGCAATTGCTGGCAGTAGGGCACGCGCCCGTGCACTCCGCGTGTCTCTAGCGAGGCTCTGGGAGCCTAAGTCACCAGGAAGAGAAAGGAAAGAGAAAACCCTTTACCTTCTTTAACTTCCTCTCTGATCCTTAATGTGCGTTTGCTTATTTATTTGCTTATGTATTCATCCCCCAGCCTTTTAAATCAAGGCTCGTTTCTCCGTGGAGAGGGGGCCGCACACCTCGCTTTAGGCCAGGTTGCATCTCCCGTTTAGCGGGTTCGGTTTGAGATCACTCCTCTCCCCCAAACTGCTGCGGGGCCCGCTCCAGGTACAGTCTCTCTCTCTCTCTCTATTCAAGAAGTTCCGCGCTGCTTCTTTCTCTGAACCACTCGGTTGGCGCCTCCGTGGGGTGGGGGTGGGGGCGACGCGGCGCGGAGTTTCCCGGCGCCCCGGTCCCCCCGCAGCTGTCCTCGCAGCCACCGGCAGCCGCCCGCGTAACCGTGGGAATCCCGGCGGGGCAGCACGCGACCTCCGGTGCGCGGAGCCAGCGGGGCCGATGGAGCCCGTTAAAAACCCGGGTCCCGAGAGCTCGGTTTCTTGGGGAGCAACAAGGGGAACCTCGCCCCCCTCCCCAGCACTACCGTTCCGCCCGCGGGAGGCGCTGAGACCGGGCCAGGCGGCCGCCGCTCCCGCCGCCCTGACAGCCCCAGCCCAAAGGAGCCGATGAGTCACGGGAGGGGGAGGGGGCCGCGGCTGGAGATTACCTAAATACATAGGTGGCAGTCCTGGCTTTTGCTCTCCCCCGACCCCTACCCTTTTCCTTTCTTTCTTTTTGGTGTTTGGAGCTGGGAGTGTCGGGCATGGAGGTCCGCGCGGGCGCGGCGGCAGGGGGCTTGTCTTCCCCCGACTTCGGAACCTGGGTGTCTGTGAACGTGTTACCGCCCGCCTCCCTTCCCCTCTTATGTGCAGTCTATTTTAAAATCTCTCTTCTCTCCCGGGCCCTTTCTTTCCGCTCTCCCCACCCCCATGGGCACGGATGACGTCCCTCCAAGACGGGCACTTCTCTGGGGCTCCGCGGCACGGGGTGCAGACACCCCACATCAGACCAGCTACTCTGTTTTTCAGAACGGGGGGAGCCTTTTGCGAGCTAATGGGGTGAGACTCAGTCCTTATGTGTCTAGGGTGAATTGCCTCGGCCCAGGCTGTGGCCAGAGGCTCGGGCACTCACTTTTTCCGAGGCCAAAACGCCGCTCCGGGCGCTGAGCTCCGCGCGGCGCCAGGCGCCTGTGGGACCTCGGTGGGAGGCGAGGAACGTGCACCCCCAGAGAGAGACCCTGTGGGGGCGCGCGCGAATGTATGTGAGCGAAGCAAAAAAGGAAAAATAAAAGGATGAGGAACGAGACGGGGAAGAAAATAGAGCGAAGGCTGTTTCTACAACTTTGGCTGCGGCGGGCGGGTGCCGGAGCAGGGGTTTCGGGTTCCCGAGCCGGCTCCGGGCTGTCTCATTATGCCGGGCTCTGCAGGGACACGCAGGAGGCGAGGTGCCGCTTGTTCTGACAGCCCGGAGGGCGGGCTGGCAGCGACGGCCCCTCTGGGAGAGAACGAGCCCTGCCATGGGGGGGGGGGGGTAGGGAAAGGGGGGGGGGCCCGGGCGGGAGTGGCCCAGCCAGTCGGACGGGTTTGAGCCGGGAAGCTGCGTCCAGGCTGGGCAGCCCCGCGTCTCCGCGCACCCTGGGCCGCGTCCCGGTCCCCTCCCGGCCCCTGCCCCGGAGAGCCGAGGGCGGGGCGGCAGAGCGCACAGCCCCGGGTGTTGGAGAGAAGCACTGGCGGCAGCCGAGGCGAGGGTCAGTCCCGGGTGGGGCCCCGGGCCATGGAGCAGCGGCGTGGCAGCAGGCCTCCGAGTCCCAAGTCCCAGGCCCGGCTGCGGAGCGGAGGAGCTCGCGGCCGGAGAGGGCGGGGAAGCGCCTCCGGTGCCCAGAGCCGGTTCAACACCACCCGGACACGGTCCCCGGTAGCTCCAGCCGGCAACGCGCGGCCCCCAAGATACCCCGAGGTCTGCTCGAGCCTTTTAGGTCCGATTGTCCTCACTCGCTTCCTTTCCCCCTTCCCCCTTCCCCTTCCCCGCAGCCTCCCCCCTCCGCGCGCTCCGGCTCAGCCCCCTCCCCCTCCCGCTCCCCCGCCCTCCCTCCCTCCCTTCAGCCGGGCTCTCCCTCCTTCCCTCCCTCCCTCCCCTCTTCCCACTCCGGGCTCCTCTCCCTCGCCCACACTTTCTTTCTCACACACGCACGCAGACACATTCTCCCTCTCTCCGCACTCTCCCTCGGCCTCCCTCGCTCGCTCTTTCTCTTTCACTTTTGCATGCCCTGCCACCTTTTAAAATGTTGCCCCTTCCCTGTGATTCGCCAGACGCCGCGCCGCTGCCCCCCGCGCGCCCGCCCGCTCGCTCTCTCGCCCGCTTTTTGTCTCCCGCGCTCGCACTCCCCGCCTCCGATTTGCCACACTGAGGCCGCCGTCAATGGACTGCATTGAGAGCCGGCCCCGGCGCGAGCTGCCTCTCCGCTTCACGCTCGATTTCCAGGCATTCTTCCCTTATTAAGTATTCGTGTAATATTAATAGTCATGAATATCTGCTATTAGGAGGCTCCAGGAACGCTGCCCGGCGCGGTTATTTAGAAGCTCAAGCGGAGCCGCCACTGAGAAAAGAGGGGAGACACGGATTAAGGAACACGCGCGCGCGGGCGCACACACACACACACACACACGCACACACTTTTTTCTTTTGGGGGGCTTTTCGTTTTCTAAGGAACTTTGAATCACAGCCGATCACGGAAAGATAGAGACCGTGGGTTCGACCTGCTGAAGGCGCCGCTCGAATCGTGGTTCCAGTTCGGATGGACCGGAGCGGGGCTCCGGCGCTGGCGGGAGCGGCGGCGCGGTGACCGGAGCCGGGGTGGCGCCGGACTCCCGGCCTTTTGTGTGGGGCGCGCTCGGGCCGCGGGGCAGCCGGGCTCTCCGGGCTTGCTTGTTTTTTTCCGCCCTGACTCGTTACCCCAGACTCTTCGCAGATGTTAGTTCACAGTTTTTCAGCTATGGTGAGTCCCACCCCCACCCCCACCCCTGCTTCCTTAGGAATTCTGGTCCGGAAACCTGGTGCGGCGGAGCTGCGCGAGACCTCGGGCTGCACCGCCAGGTTTCCATCAGGGCACCCCTTGCATTTGCATTTCCCTTTTTCGCTCTTTTCCACCCTCAAATTCCCCGTCCCTGCTCCGTATCTCCCGGCGCGCAGACCTACCTCGCCCGCTCCTCCCCAAGGCGCGTTTCTCGCCTTGTTCATCTTTATTTCCTCGCGTCTCCACTTGTTCTTGAGATGTGCTCAACGTTTGATACTAAATCCGTTTGCACACAAAAAGACGGAGCCCGATGTGCCCCTATCCTAGGGGGGCCTGGGGCCGAACCTCCGAGGGCTCGCATGCCCTGGAATCAACTCTGTTCACTTGTTTGGCAAGCGAATTTCAGTGGAGGAACAGAAAGTCAGGCGTTTCTTCTGCCTTTTGGGGCTGGGGCAGAAGGGGTGGGGGCCTCCGCCCCGGGGTGCACCTTCTCATTAAACCCCAGAGGGCTGAGTCTATTTTAAACATCGACTAGACGTCCCCTTCTCCCCATCCATATGGCAAATCCACGCTGTGTGTGGAGAAAGGAACTCCTAATTGAGGAAATGGGAAAGGCAGAGTCTCCCCCCACCCCAACCTGCAGCTAAAACCTTCTTTAAGCTGGTAATTTAAACGTGTGCTTCGTTACAGCCCCACTACGAAATGTTTCTATTTAAATAGTCAGGGAATGCTAGTAGTCTTTGAACGTGTGTGGAATAAGGTAAACAACGCAGTTCAAATGGTGTGTGGAAGGGGAGTACGGGGGGGGGGCGCTTCTACTGTTTAATATTTAGTAGGAATTTTAATTTTGCTTAAGGGAGGTTTCCCGCCGCAGCTTATCTTGCTCCATTCCGGGAGGCCCTTTTCTACCCGTCCCCACCATGGAAAGAGCGAGCCGAGAGCCTCTTCCGCCCCACATTTGCAGTCTATTTTCCTGCGTTTTTGGAAGGGCCCGCTTCACTTCTGGGGTGTTTCCCAAAAGGAACGACTTGGAGCTCGTTTCTGCGGCCTGCCGAGGGGAAGGGGAGTGGGTTCGGTGTTGGCAGCTGTACCTCGACGCCTGACTTCTCTCTCTTCGCTCTTTTCTCGCTCTCTTCTAGGACCGTCACGACGGCACCAGCAACGGGACGGCGCGGTTGCCCCAGCTGGGCACTGTAGGTCAATCTCCCTACACGAGCGCCCCGCCGCTGTCCCACACCCCCAATGCCGACTTCCAGCCCCCCTACTTCCCCCCACCCTACCAGCCTATCTACTCCCAGTCGCAAGATCCTTACTCCCACGTCAACGACCACTACAGCCTGAACCCCCTGCACGCCCAGCCGCAGCCGCAGCACCCGGGCTGGCCCGGCCAGAGGCAGAGCCAGGAGTCTGGGCTCCTGCACACGCACCGGGGGCTGCCCCACCAGCTGTCGGGCCTGGATCCCCGCAGGGACTACCGGCGGCACGAGGACCTGCTGCACGGCCCGCACGGGCTGGGCTCCGGCCTCGGGGACCTCCCGCTCCACTCCTTACCTCACGCCATCGAGGACGTCCCGGTAAGAGGCCGCGCGGACGGCGCGGAGGGCGCGCAGCCCTGTCCCACTCGCGAAGGGGCCGGGACGCACGGCCGGCGCGACCGGGTTGTCCTCAGCGGTGTTTACTTTTTCAAAATTTCATTTTATTTTTGGGGGGCGGGCCCTTGAAGGACTACCCACATAGGCAACCGAATTTAAAATTTAAAAATAAGTTGAGAGTTCTGCCCTTAGAACAATGGTTCCTGGAAATCCTTCAAACAATGCCAGCATTACCATTTCCACCGACACAAATAAATCAGATGGATGCCACGGTATCTTCCCCTCTCCACGACAGTAAACTGTTTCGATTGGGAGAGGATCTAATTCCACCTCTGAGTCTGGCGTTGGGATTTCTCCCTGTCCTGAAAAAAAGGTGTCAAATTCAACCGAAAGAGCTCATTAAATGCCCTGGCAACTCATAAGGAAGTGTACAAGACATACTGAAAAATTATTTTTACTGGGTTTTACAAGCACTAGTGATATCTGAAAGTTATGTGTATCCCCTTACCCTGATTAAGGAATAGTTAAGTAGCCAATCTGAGCAGAGGGACATTAAAATGCAGCCTTCTTCTCTTCCTAGGGGTGCTAAGTGCTGACCTCATAAATCATTAGCTAGGTTCCAAATGCCTATCAGAACCTGCTGCACCCCATATTAAATTAAATGTTCTGAAACTATTGAGCAACATTACTTGAGTTTTAATTCAGTTATCAATAAAGGTAGTTTAAAATGATCTCTTAATAAGCATGATATTAGCACATTTACTCTTTACAATGTAAACCAGCTATTGATAATTTGAAAATACTTTCTGAAATTAAATTTAAACCAGCATCTCTGCTTCAATTCTACATATTTATGGTTTCCTCAAAACCTTCCTGAAATGGAATTAGAACAAGCCAATAATTTTATTAAAGCTGTAAAGGCTCTATTAATGCTGCTTTTCTTTGGAGAGGAAATGTATCTGGATGTGATTTTTGCTGAAATGCTATTTCAAATTACTGCATCAAATATTGCAGCAATATGTCCGTTGACAGTTTAATGATTACTGCATTAGATTGCAAAGAAAATGGTCAGATGAACTTACCTGCTTGCTTGGTGAATTTAAAACTTTAAGTTACATAGGAAAATAGAAAATTTATTACATCTTTCATTTAACTTGGTTAATCACTGAAATTTGTTGGTTAAATTTAGCAGCTTTGCATGGAACGCAGAAAGTAGGACTTGATCCAATGTGGGGTTTAGTAAGTATTGCGTGTGTGTGTGTGTGTGTGTGTGTGTGTGTGTTGGAACATGTATTTAGAGGCTGATACTAAACAGTGCAGTTCTTGGGAAGGAAAATGAAAGGAGCAATAGTTGAGAAAAGCACAATTAAAAAACAAGCTTGGAAATTGTGATCATTTTACGTCTTACCAAAGATTCTCGGAATCTTTTTCCTAGCCTGGTCTTTGGAAATATTAGAATTGCAAAATAATGTTGCAAGCTTTTGAGACTTCTGTGGATTAGAATTGCTCTACTTTGCAAAAATTTGAAAGTGGTTGGTGTGAATTCTTAACACCTATATAGTCCCTCTTTGTGGTGAAATTGGTCAGTAGGAGAAATTAACCTAAAGATCAAATGAAAACAAGGAAACCCAGTTGCTGCTCTCTCCCTCCCTTCCCCACCTTTTAAGAAGAAAAAAAAAATTCTTTCAAAGGAATTTGGGTCAGGAAAAGGGTTGTTTTCAATTTTCCCATTGCTGCAACAGTTAACCTTTAATAAGAATGACTGCTAAATATTAAGAAAATCAAATCGATGGTGAAAATTATTTAATCATTAATATCTCAGTGGGGTTTTAAACCTAACAGTCTTCCCTGTATGGACAAGGTCTAGAAATAACACAAATAAAAGTATTATGCCACACTACATTTACTTTATGAGTTTAGGGTGCATGCATAAAGGGATCATATTTCCCCATATAGTTTAAACACAAGAACTGCAGCAGTACTCATTTCTGAACATTTCTCAATTTAATTATACTTAAATCCAGAAGCACTTTAGGCAAGTTACAAATGAGAGCATTGAGTATAATAAAACCTGTAATAAAGCAACTTAGTACCATCCACCCGGAATCATTGCGATCAGGCACAATTAACAGGAGCATAAATCCAAGACAGAATGGAAAATGTTTGAATCAGTATTATTGTTGGACAAAGACTAGAGAAGGAAGTAATAGTTTTTTAAATGGTAATGCCTGTGTTTGGTAACGATTGCGAAATCTTCTATCTCAGCAGCCCTGGTGCTAATTTGTAAACACAGCCAGACATTATATTGCCTGTCAGTTTCTGCATTAGAAAACATGATTTCATTTTACTTTCTAATCACGTTTTGACTCTGACACACACATATACCCATCCATCTGCAAAAAAATGAAAACCCCACCCCAACAAATCTGCTGTTGGACAACAGAAACAACCTCAAATGTTTTTGTGTTTGTTTTTAAAAATAATTTCTATTCCCATATCCAATTTAGGCAGTAGTCCTTTTTTCAAAAAAGACAGCACAAATTATGTTTCCATAGGTGAAGATGTGTGTATACATTTGATGTTTATCACACTACCTAAAGCGTTTCCAGCACACCCATCCTGCCTGTCATTTCTATTGTGTTTCTCTGGCTTTTGCTGCTGAGCCCTTGAATCACTAAAAGTCCGAAGCCACTGAGGCGCCAAAGTAATGCTAGGTGCATTTTAAAAGGTTGGACTTATTGTGAAAAAGATTAGGTGCTCCAAACTTGATTTTAATTTCCAAAGAAAGTTTTATTCCCAACCCCCACTTCTTTCAAACTCAAATTATTTGTGGGAGGAGGAGAAATTGGCCGTGGGTGTGCAGTGAAACCTCTTGAGTTGCAAAGCCCCAGATTCCAATAAGCCAAGATGAGATGTTTATATATAAATGTCACTATAAGGGGGGAATTTTGATTCTACACCTTCCCCTCCCCACAGCTTGCACGGAATATTCATTTCCTTTTGTTTTGATTATACACTTACATCCATGTGTATCCTTTTGTTGCAGCATGTAGAAGACCCGGGTATTAACATCCCAGATCAAACTGTAATTAAGAAAGGTAAGCCATTTCCTTTTGCATTCCAAGCATGTCCTTACAGGCATGGTGCTATTTAAAAGAACTTGCAGAGCTGTATTTATTTTTTTCAAATACGATTTTCCTAAAGGCTCAGAATTAGCAAACAGACAGAACAGCAATGCTTGAATGATCGGCTTTCAGTAGGTTAGCAATGGCAACAGGCTAGCTTTGTTCTGATTCATGATTTAATTTAGTTTAATGATATCTGGACAAACACATAAAATGTGTAATAGTTTAACTGATTTGGAAATGGCATTTCAATTTTGAAATGTTTTAATAGTTTATTTAATTGTGTGAGTGGCCAGGAGTGTCAAGAAGTGATATGCTAAAACAGTGCAAATAATTTACTATTGATATAAGGGCAGATGATAAAAAGACATCGCATTCCTTAGCAGAGGGGGAAAAAACCTTCATTGTTTTCAATCCAATTTCTCATTAGCTCTTTAAGTTTTTAAACTTTGTGAATTAGGTTAACAAAAATTTGGCTTTTGGTAAAAAATTAGCATCTTGAAGATGTCAGGATTCTTAGCATAATTGTTCATAGCAAAAAAAAATTGTTTAAAAGTGACCAGTGATTTGGATGGATTTGTAATTTGTATTGTATTTAGTGAGTAGAAATAAAGTTTATTGGATTAAATGTTTTCACAGCAGCTTTTTTGTTGTTGTTATGGTGGCAATGTTACATTTCAGGATTCTAGGCACCACCAGAGGCCAATGCTATATAACTGTTCTCATTTCATTTCTAACCCCAATCAGCTTGTTAGCTAGTTTAGAGTTTCATTTTTGCATCTGTGAAGTCTGTCACATCAAATTAGATGTGCAAGGGATAAATCTTAAGAGATGCTCTTTCCAAGTCGACACGATAATTGGCTCTTTTATTAGTAATCTCTCAAGAGTTCGTTTAACTCCTATTGTCTCTATTAGCCTCCCCAGAGCTATTAATGTCACAAGTGATCTATCCAAAACTAGAGCCCTCCACCTCACCATACATCTAGAATATCCCATTAAAGAGGGAGGAGTTAAGGCAATGAGAATGTATACATATTATTATATATGTCTCCAAGTGGAATTTTAAAAATACAAACACATACTATGTTTAAATGGTTATGAATGCATCCGAATTATATTGGTGTCAAGAAATGTAATGTTGGTACACTTCCTGCTGGACTTGAAACTATTTTCTAACTATGATGGGTCCAACAATGAAGAACTAAAGAATTTAACTAGTAATATATCCTCCCTGCCTTCCCAACGAGGACGCTTAAGCAGAGGGCTTTTAACTATTTGCTAACAGAAGTATTCTGTGCTAGGCCTGTTTATCCTTCCTTCTAGCAAAAAATGGGGCTTGGAATGGCTCTTCAAAACTCGAGTCTTTCTCAAAACTAAACATAGGACAGGGCCTATTTCTCAAAAGGATGGGGCACGTGTTGTGTGTCAACAGACGGCTTCCCAGATTGGTGCCTTAACTGAAAATACTCATTTACAGGCTGATTTGCCATCTAAACTCTGGGCTGACTTTAATTGCAGGTTTATGAAGCAACTTCCCGCCCCTTCCCCCTGGCGCCCCCCAACACTAAACCCCTCATTTCCACAAAACTCCAAAGGACACATAGTTTTTGCTTGCTCTTGGTTTGCAAACGTAACGCCCTCCCCTGCACCCCAAGCCCGTGCTAGAGCATCTTGTCTGGGGCCCACTGTCCTCGGAGGCTTGAGAGCTCAGCGGCTCACAATTGCACCACCTTCTCCAGGCAGCCCCCCGAGGCTAAGAGAAAAGGGTCCGGGCAGAAGCACAGGCCTGGCTGGCGGGCTGGGCGGGGGCAGCTCCAGGCCGGGGGGTGCGGCGCGCCGAGGAGAAGCCTTGGTCTCAGGTCGGAGCAGGGCGGGAGGTGGGGAAGGAGCCATGGAGCTTTCAGAGCTGGAAGAAAAGGGGGGTTGCCGCACGAGCCTGGGCGCCTGCCCCAGCCGGGAGGAGCCTCTGTCCGGCTGCCCGGGGGCGGGTCCGCGGCTCCCACACACGGCCTCCGGTCTGTCTCCGCAGGCCCCGTGTCCCTGTCCAAGTCCAACAGCAACGCCGTCTCCGCCATCCCCATTAACAAGGACAACCTCTTCGGTGGCGTCGTGAACCCCAACGAGGTCTTCTGTTCGGTTCCGGGTCGCCTCTCGCTCCTCAGCTCCACCTCGAAGTACAAGGTCACGGTGGCGGAAGTACAGCGGCGCCTCTCACCGCCCGAGTGTCTCAACGCCTCGCTGCTGGGCGGAGTGCTGCGGAGGTGAGGCCCGCGCGGCCCGACCTCCCCGCCCGCGGCCCGGGCCGCACTGCGCCTGCGCCTGCGCCGGGCCGCGACGCAGCCGGACCCCGCGCCGCGGCCCTCCCTTCGCGCGAAAGGAAAGGGGCGGGGCGAAGGCGTGTTGCGGAGTGGGCGGGGCTGGGCGGGCGCGCCCGCCTCCTCCGCCCCTCCCCTCGCGGGGGCGGGGCCTGGCGCGCGGCCCGGTGGTGGCGGCCGCGCGCTCGCTGGGCCCTCCGGTCCCTCCCTCCCCGCCCGGCGCGCACGCGCAGCTCGCTCCGCCGCGAGCTCAGTCCCGGCTGCGGCAGCCGCGGGGCGCCGTGCAGCCGCCTTTTACCTCCACGCGCGCACCTTGCCGGCCCTGAAAAACTTGCTCTCGGGCTCCTCACTTTTCTTCACCTCCGTGTAGGGTCTCCGGCGGGTAGCCCGTCGTTCCTAGCATAGGATTTTAAGTAGGAGACAGTTGTTTTCTCTCGAGTCAGCAAGCCACGCCCGCCGGTCATTACCACCTCCGCCCCGAGGTGACTCCCGGTGCCCAAGGCACTTGCATTCATGGTTGCGATGTATGGCGGCGCCGATGTGTGCCAGGCAGCATACAAGGCACGTTTAAGTGCATTAGGTGCAGTCACTACCCGAAGGATACACGTTCCATACGTGGCCTCACCCCCGCGAGGTCGGAATGATTCATTTCGTAGATAAAATTGAATAAGCGGCAGCGAGGTGAAGCATCTTCCCTCAGGGCAGGTTCCTCCCTCTTGGGGGCTTTCTTCTAGGTCCCCCCCCATGGAGGGTCTTGGGTTGAGCTTTCCCAGATAAATACTTTCTTCCTTTTTTTTTTTTTTTTTTAATAAGAAGTAGACAAAAAGTTTATCCTTTTGATACTCATTTACCTACTATGAGACTTTTGGTTCTGCTCTGATAGATATATCCCATTCAAAGCCTATAAAAACCATTCTTGGAAGGTTTTAACATCAGCTATTTTAATCTTTTCTTCCTCCTTCACCGTCATTTGGCTGTCCCTTTGTAATCTTTCACTGTCACAGATCTGAATCCGCCCTCTGCCTTTTCCTCCCCTTCCCCCACCCCCAATATTGGAGACTGTTTACCTAGGGGAGTATAATCTAATCCACACAATTAAAGAGCACTTGAGTAGGGAATAAAATCTGAAATTAATTAATTTGCTGTTTTATTTAAACAATTTATCTTAACCACTTTCTGATTATGGAAGTCTATTTAGACATCTATTTAGAACTGCCTCCATTGTCTCGAAATCAGTGAAATTTTTAAAGGCCGATATCAGCTTTTGACATTTCCAGTTAGGCTGGTGACATGGCATGTAAACAGTTGGTGAAATGAATTCCCCGTTGGGGCTAAAGCCAGAGCAAGTAACGTGAGAGTGATGATAACTTTGGTTACTCTGAACAACCTAACAGCAGATCTTACAAAGACAATTTAAAGACCCCATTGGGGTTTATGTGATTGTAACAACAGGGAAAATATACAGTGACCAGTTGAACTAAAAAGTACCTTAAACCCTAGAGGTGAGAGCTGTTTTTGTTTGTGGTTCTTTAGAGAGCTGGGGAATCAAAACTGTCTAACCTGCCACAATAATTGCAATAATTACTGAATACAGAAGATGCTTTACAGTTTAATAAGCATTTGTCTCCATTTCTTCCTAGATTTTTCTCCCTTAAATATCTCTGGGCTGTGATTCTTAATTTTAGGAAGTTGTCAAAATTACTATAATATGATGCAGATCAACCCAATGTTTTCTAAATCGCTTTCCTATATTCGTGAAACAGGGCGAAGTCTAAAAATGGAGGAAGATCTTTACGAGAAAAGTTGGACAAAATAGGATTAAATCTGCCAGCAGGGAGACGCAAAGCTGCCAATGTCACCCTGCTCACATCACTAGTGGAGGGTAAGCGAGTCTACTTGCTAACAAGAGGGAAGTTTCTTCTGAGAAAATGGGTAATACTTAGTGGCCAGATGTTTGGTTGTATTTTGTGACAATTGGGCAGTTTCATTTTTTTCCAGAGTATGTAGCAGGAAGTGAATGAAATTCTTGCATGTCAAAAAACTATTTGCATTTATTCCTACCCTCCTTTCTTCTTCCCCTCTGCCACAAAATCACACCTCCCTAGCCCAATTCTGACCTAAACAATGTGAAAATTAAAGAACTACATATTCTCCAAGTTCCTGTCTCCCTTATAGAGCTCAGCAGTAAATCACTTAAGGTATTCTGACATCTGCATTTGAGAAATGCGTGACCATTACTTCCTGAATTAATTTGGGAATCTTTGACCTGCATCCTGATTTAAGACCATCCTGAAAGCTCAGGGTAATATACCCTTTTAGTTTTTGTTTTCCAAACATATGCCCCTTATCTCTCCTTTAATTGTGCTTCTTTACTTGGAAGGGAAGAAAAGTGAGTGATTTTAGACTTTGAACTGCTTTGAATATAAAAAGAAAAAAGAAAGATGAGCACTGCAAAAAGTTTCTTTTGGCAGTTTTAAACACGCACACATACATGCATACACACACACACAACACACACACACAACACACACACACACATGCATGCTTCCAAACCCCTCAAAAACAAAAGCCAAACCCATCCTCACTCCCTGCTCTAGATGTACTGTCACCAGATTCTTCTCAGATTCCTGTTTCCTCTAGATTACTGTTAAGTTTTTCTGACACCAAATTGGCTTAAGTTGAGTGTGTTGGAATAAATATATAGCTCTCTTGCATTTTCCTTTGTGTTCTGCTGGAAATGCCTTCTGGCTATAGGGGAAAGGACACTTAAGTTATCAGGCAGATTTCAAAACTGCCATTTATATTTACAGAAGGCATTTTATCTTATTTGCATTTTCTATTTGAGGAGGTATAATACAGTTGAATTCAACTTCTAGCTGTGTAAATAACTAAAAATGTTTAAAACTGTAAATTTGAGGAGGAACCCTATGACCCATTTGAAAATGGTGTCAGAGATGACAATAATATAACTGCTAAATAATAAGCATTTGTTCAGCGCCAGAAACTATCTACAGTAGCACGGTGTTCATGCTTATAAAAATAATACCAATACATAGAAAATGCACTATCCATACTCCAAAAGACTTAGATGAAAAAAAAAAAAAAGTAGTTCTGAGTTTGGGTGAAGTGTGAGAGTATATGTGGGTTTTGGGGTGGGACCCTGTAGCAGGGAGGCAGTTTCTGGAGAACTGTTATTGTTTGTGATCCGCTCCATTTTATGGAAACAAGCTCTGCGGAGAGGGCTTTGATGCTCTAATTGGCGCATGCGTTCTTCCGGAGCTGGAGCTAATGGCAGGAAGCCCTGCAGTAAAAACCAACTGGTTCAGGAAATTAAAACCAAAGATTCGAAAATCAACAACACAGACAGACTCAGTGGAGTGACCCTCAAATCCTCTTGGTTAATCGGTTTGGATGAACAGATAATTATATGCGATCAAGTTAAAATGTAAACCCTTAGTTGTTACCTTGCAGAAAAGCTCAAGGAGTAATTATGCATATCATTTATGAATGCATGGATAGGTGTGAGATTGGAATACAAGAGATTTTAAAAGAGAAGTTGGGAAAGTGTTATCAGGGTGGGGATGAGGGTAGTGGATGAGATTTACATTTTCAAATCATCTTGGCCTTCTAGGGTAAGTGGCCATTTTCCTGATAACTACATCCACCAGATTCTACAGAGAAGGAAATAAAATGCCTGAAATGAGAAAACAAGTATTTTGTGTTTCCTTCAACATCTGGTTTAAGAAAATAAGGGAGTTGGGAGGAAGTTTTGACCCCAGCTCTACATTCTCTTGCACTCGCCTCCCTCCTCTCACCTCTTGCCAGGAGAAGCCGTCCACCTAGCCAGGGACTTTGGGTACGTGTGTGAAACCGAATTTCCTGCCAAAGCAGTAGCTGAATTTCTCAACCGACAACATTCCGATCCCAATGAGCAAGTGACAAGAAAAAACATGCTCCTGGCTACAAAGTAAGGCGCTTACCTCTTCAGGGTCCCTGTGTCTCATTGTGAAGAGAAACAAAAATCAAATTTGCTCTCACTTTTCTCTTTTCCTTTTGTGTTAGTCAGCTTTGTTGTTGTAAATATTGATAAACACAATCTGATAAATCATAATCTGTTTTAAAGGGATATAAAAAGAATTTAAGAGATACAAGTAGAATTGTTCTGTGTATTTTGTCTCACCTTCCCATCACAAACAATTGATGCGTGTTGGGGTGGGGGGTTTGTAGGGATTTGATAGAAGTTGAATGTGGATTTGTGACTATGCTGTTTCAGAAGACCAGAATCAAGTCATCAAAGGAGTAAACAAGCTTGTCTATATCAGTTTCTTTCTCTTGCCCAAGTCAGTTTTTGTTTTCTAGCCCTTAGTTGTTAATCCAAAGGCAAGGAGTAAGTAGTGGCCTGCAAAATGTGCAAACCAGAAGTTGTCCTAGTTTCACCCCTAATCCCAATCCTATTTCTTGCTTCCTTTCTTCTAGAAAGTCACACACACACACCCCACAAGTGTTAGCCCACAGGCAAGCTATCAAGTAGATTTCAAAATGGCCCCAAGTTAAATTCCCATGGGTGCTTGGGTAGAATAGGCTTCTCCTGGTGGCATGTGAAAAGAAAATGACTATCTTGGTATGTTTTCTGGACATTAAAAGGCTTGTTTGGAAGCCTTTAATTATCAAAGTCCGTGTCAGAGGAGGGCATGGAACCAGAGGGCAGAGGCTGAGGCCTCAGGCAGAGCAGTGTTTGGCCTGGGGACATCATCAGCCTCAGGGAAAGCAGCCTGCCAATGCTTCCCATTCTCCCCTATCCCTTCCCCCACTCAACCCCATCCCCAAGGCCCAGCTGATCCTTGTTTCCCACATTCAGAGACAGGCTTCCAGTGTGCAGGACTCATCTTCCTGTATTTCAATTTTTTCTCTTTCTTTAGGTTTGAAGCATGCCCATATTTACAATTTCCCTAGAGAGTTTTATTTTATTTTGATGTATGAGGAAAGACATGGAATAGGAAACTGAAATAACTGTTTCTTCTTCTTCAAACCACTCTAAATACCCCCAAGTCATGGGTTTTTCATGTCCCCCCCCCCCTTTAAAGGTAAAATAATCCCAAGAAAAGTTTTGCCTTTCTGTTCACATGCAACTGATTAGAAGGTGAATGAATGGAGATTTCATCCCACAGGCTGCTGCTGAGGCCTCTCTAGAAGACCAGAGAAGAGGGTCTCTAATATTTTCAACAGGACAGCGGATGACCGCATGCTGTTGGCTATTGAAGAGAGACTTATGTTTGACTCCTTGTCCCTCTTACTGTCCTTTGTTCTCTTCTCATGTGAGAAATGTTTTCCAGTGACTAGGATGTTTGGTGTGAGCAAGAGAGGAGGGGGTTAGAAGTTTGGTAGAGCTGAGAGGCGGGTGGGGAGGTGGGGAAGAGAGTCAGAGACTGAACACATTAGTGGAAATATTTAAAGAAGGAGCGGCGATGTTTTAGTGGACACTGCTGGGTCTTCCAGCATGTGGCCACTGTAGTTCTGTCTCTAGGGCTGGGGTCTTGGGTCAGGTCAGTGTCTGCTGGATCCCGGCAGAGGTAAGAGTAGGGAGAAAGGTTATCTTTGCTGCTGGTGCTGCCCCAGAGGAGTTTCATGTCTCCCCCTCTCTCTGCTTCTCTTGTGCTGCAGACAGATATGCAAAGAGTTCACCGACCTGCTGGCCCAGGACCGATCTCCCCTGGGGAACTCGCGGCCCAACCCCATCCTGGAGCCGGGCATCCAGAGCTGCTTGACCCACTTCAACCTCATCTCCCACGGCTTCGGCAGCCCGGCGGTGTGCGCCGCGGTCACGGCCCTGCAGAACTATCTCACCGAGGCCCTCAAGGCCATGGACAAAATGTACCTCAGCAACAACCCCAACAGCCACACGGACAACAGCGCCAAAAGCAGTGACAAAGAGGAGAAACACAGAAAGTGAGGCTCCTCCCGCCCAGCCCTGCCCCCAAGCGCCCACCCACTCCGTCTTCCCCGCACCAACCACCCTGGGCAGGTGACAGCTCCGGGATCAGCAACCCCCACTGCTGCTACTGCTGCTGCTGCCGCCGCCGCTGCCGCCGCCGCCGCCGCCTTCAGTCCTCCCGTCTGGGAGTCCGGGGACTGCTCTGCACTCAGTGGGTAGCCCCTGCTGACTCAGGCCCTGCCTCAACTTCCCCGATCAGCATCAACCCTTTGCCCTCATGTGGAGCCTAAGAACAGAACAGGCCGTGAAGCCAGCAAAGAAAAGTTCTGTCGGAGTTTGTGAACTTTTTTTTTTTTAATAAGTAAAAACCCCACACATCAACAATGGCAACAACAACAAAAACTTAAAACTTTTTTTTCTAAAAAAAGAACGTAAAAATTTAAAAAAATTATATGAGCTTCATGGGACTGCATCACCACCTTCTCTTACATACTTCAGTTCAGATTGTAGCCATACTTAAATAAGGCAAACGGATAATGACATTTTTATCAGTATTGTGAATAAACTTGAACACAAATACACGAAGTTCCATGTCATGTCTCAGTTGTAGAAGTTTTTCCTCTCCAAGGTAAAGCGACCAACTTGAACTTTCTCTGGCAACACGATTCAGTTATATAAGGGAATCAGTGTTCATGTCTCTGTATATATTTATTTATGTGTAATTTAATGGGAAGTGTAAATATGGTGAGTCTGTTTTAAGCCTTTTTTTTTTATTTATCTGGTGATCTCGTTTACCTCTTGTTTAGTGGGTTTTGAATCTTCCCTATTAGTTCTTCATGTGGTTCATGGTACTTATTTAGAAATTCAAGGTTTGGGGGGGATTCCTTTTTCCTCTGGGATTCGTGAATTTAGCATGTTAAAGATGACAATGAAAGAGCGGAACAAATAAACAAGTAAAGTAAAAATTTTATATACAATTAGAATTACATTTAGCTTTTCATTGAACGGAAAGAAAAATTGATATTGGAACTGGGAAAGATTTTTAAACTTGAGTGGTTTCATAACCCTTCTATGTATTATGGGGAGGGGGGAAAAGTTAATTTTATTCCACCATCCTCCCTTAAAAGCATCATTTGAGCAATAAATGAGTATTGTCTTTAAGCCAAGAGTTAGGGATTTTTTTTTTTTCCTCTCTCTCTTTTTGTTCAAAGAACTTCAAACATTTGGGACCACCTGGTATTCTGTATTTTCACTGGCCATTTTGGAAACAGTTCTAGTTGTATTGTATTGAGTTGTGCTGGCAGTAGTTTCCATGCCTGTCAATGTATCATAGTCCTTTGTTGCCCAGATAAATAAATATTTGATACGCTTTATGTCGATTTTTTTTTATTCAGTGGCTGTCTTTACCCAGGCGTATTTTTGTTCTTGGCAGTATTTTTTATTCAGTATGGTTACAGTAATTGAGTTTAACTCTCCCTTGGCAATTGCTCCTTGCAATAAGCAGCTGAACCCATTGTTTCCCTCAAGTATAATAAAAACTTACTTTCAACTTGGAGTTCAGAGCAGGGTATCATTTAGATATTCCACTGAGTCTGTATCCAGACAAATGACACAATAAAACCCAATGTATTCTTTTGGATAAAAGATTGTATGCACTGCTAAAGAAATGACACACTATCTTTTCCTTACTAGAAACATTAATTTTATTATTAAAAATAAACTTTTATTTATGTTGATCCTTTAGGTTTTTATTTGTGTTTTGGAAACCAAAATATAAAATCTTCATAACCAAACATTAAGGATGACAAGGAAGATGGAGAATAGAAGACACCTGTCTTCCCCTCACCCTCATCCCCCCCCCCCACACACACACACCCCTAACCACCTTGAAGTTGTCTCAAAATAACTGAAATTTAAATTGTCAGTTCATTAGCACAAAGGAACCACCACTTCAACCTTCACTTGCTAGCTCAGGCTTCTGGGAGGCTAAGACATGTAAATGAGCTAAAACTAGCTCTAGTTTTCTGGGAGGAGAAAGGAATAGTGGCAGAAATGAACACGAGGCAGAGAAAAAGATGGCAAACTGTCTCCCATTTAGTTTAATATTTTATTTAGAGATAAATTTCTTCCTGTGCTGTTCTTAGTAGCTCTTGTGGGAGCAGAGGGGGGTGGGAAATTATGTTGATTTCCAGAATCATTTCTGCCTGCTTCTAAAAGCCGACCCACCCCTTTCTATCACCGCAGGGCTCCTCCTAGAACCTTTTGGAAATAGAAAATGTTCTCGGAGGAGGCGGGGGGGGGGGGGGGGGGAGGATGTGGGAGGGCCTCTGCAGACTTCTGTCTGTCTTCTACAGCAGCAGGACTCTGCTTAGCTCTTACAGAGGAAGGACTTCCTGTGCATAAAAATGGTGAATTCAGAGCTTTTAAAACTGATTTGGAAAGTCTGCTTTGGAAGGGAGGAGGATTTTTTAATGATTTTTTTCAGAAGAAAATGGAGGTAGATAACTGGAAGGTTTATAGGAAAAGTCATAGACAAAGTGTCTAGGTGGAGGTGTGAGCTACGTACTGGAGGAGATTTAACGTTTGTTCATCTGGTTTGGCATGCCGAAGGACTGGGGAAGCAGCATTAGGCAGTGTCCATTTTGCAGGCTTTTGCTTTCTAATCTCCTTACGGAAGGCAGTGCAAAATCAATCCCGACAGACGAATGGAAGTTGGTGGAGTCTAAATTCTATTTCCCAAAGCCAGAGAATTTATAATAATGGTGGAGTGTTGTTTTTTTTTTAATTCAAATGGAGAGTGTATCCTCAGAACGCAAGGTGGCAATTGTTTTTTAAAGCTGTTATTTATTATTTCCTAGAGAGACTGGTTAACTGTAACGTAGATGTAACAAAATAATGAGGCGAATGAACCCTAACTGTACATACTCTTGACAGAAATGAAATGCACACAGCATCATAGCAGGTGAAGTGAAGCATTGTCTATCAGGGCTGTTTTTCTTGGCTGCATCTCAGATTGTGTGTGGGGATCCTAACCTCAGGCACAATAGCATTCATAAACAGCCATACATTGCTGCTCTTTCTCCAACGACACATAAATACTCATTTTAAAACAAAAACAATCTTATTAAATACCACTCATTCATATCTGGATTTACAGATGCTTGTTATGTTGGAAAAACCTGAACCCGATATAATCCTTGCATCCTGAGAAAGACAGAAAGGAAATAGTGGGTTAGAACATTACAAGGTCATAATAAACAATGGTTTCCAAAGGCACAGAATTAGTTATTTTTATTCTGTAATTGGACATTTTGAGGATCATGATATTGTCACTTCTCTTTCTTGTCTTTAACAAACATTAAAAAGAAGTTATATATGTTTTTAAGGAGTGGGAAGATTAAAGGGTTGTTATTAAAAATCATTTTTATGGGACTAACCAAAGGCTATATGGATTTTGGCTTTCTCTGTTGTAACCAATGTATATTTTCTAAAACACATGGTGATCATTGTACAGGTCACATATTTACATATTAACAGCAGTGATTATCTTTGAATTAAGTCAAATTAGGATACCTCCTGGAATTATAAAAATGCTTGCTAGGCTATGCTAATTACCACACCCAATTTTTATGGAAACACAATGCTCCTTCATTACCTCTTCTATTCTCCAACAGCCTTTGAAAATCACTATCCAACCCATTCCTCCCCAAAATCGAATATTAATATAATTTGAGTTCTTGATGGAACTACCATCAGGACTGCAATGCCCCGCAGCTGAAATAATATTTAAAATAGAAGGGATTTGACATTTGAGAAGTCAGTGGCTTGAAATACCCAGTTGTACTTAGCTAATTCAGTCCTTAACCTCTGGTTTCAAATAAATCAATTACAGTCGATTCCACTTCAGTTCAGAAGTGCACAGGGTTTTAGTTAATTGAATACATTTTATTCACTTGCTAGGAATATTCATTTATCAAAATTCCAAATTTAATGTACATTTCTTTACAACTCAGATTATGTTAGACTGCACAGTCAGATCAAATTTGCCGTTTTCCCCCAACTCCTGCTTAAAATCTAAATTTCACCACTCTATGAAACGATGTTTGCCATTCCTTTCTCGATCAAAAGTAAATTCATAATAATTCCATGCCAGGCAGGAGAGCTGTTTTCCCCCCACAAAGAAAAAAAAAAAATCATGTGGCCATCATCCTTGCGTTAACTTTAAAGAGGTTAAGAACAGAGCTGGATTAATTAAGTTTTTAAAAAGTATTGACCTGAAATTAAAAAAAAAATTATGCATGGTTTCCATTAGAGCTTAACTTTGCCACAGCTGACAGGTATGACAACATTTTAAAGCCCCAGGCTCCTTTTCTTAACCCTCTCTTTTCCTCTGGCTTTTGGAGAAGTGCTTGAATAAATAGTGAATTGCTAACTGAAAGCAGTACTGTTAAATGTGCTCAAATGAAGTTGTGCTTTAAACAGATATTGATGTATGCAGTGTTTTATATTTATTGTTTGTAGCATCCTGCTGGCAGCAGTTTACTGTTTGGAAAAGAAAGGGGTTAATTAGCGTCATTATCAATCACTAATGCTTGCCTAACGTGTCCAAAGAATAATCAAGTTAGAGGACGGCATGAAGCCAACAGCTGCTTCATCCCAGTTACAGATCTCCTCCTAAGACACACAGCTATGGGGTGGGGAGGATGGGGGATGAAGTGAGGGGAAGAATCGTCATTGCTTGGGTAGAAGAGCTATAAAAATCAGATCAACTCACTAGAGATTCAAGAGGCAGAAAGTATAACATAAATAACAGAATTTTCATTCTCTGAGTTACAGATGTAGAGATGGCACCGGTCCTGAGGCAAGAGGACTAACATTTGTCCTTTAATTGGCTTGATTATCCAAGTTGGGCATTTGAAGAAACACATGCACATTTCCCTATTGCTTTGTGCTATGTGGGGGGAAAAAGATACATAAATGCAAGAAAAGAAGGAAGAAGAAGGCAAAAAACCTCACAC